CCCCAAAACCCCAAAACCCCAAAACCCCAAAACCCCAAAACCCCGCATTACACTTATTTAATTGAAACCTGCGTAAATTGTACATCAATCGCTCTTAAAAATCAAGTGAAAGTTCAGGGAATCCTTCTGCTTCCTCAAAATACAAGTTCTTTGCAACTAGGAAATCATAATTTTTGAGCTTGGATAGGATCTCTGCCTTCTTCTGGGCTACCAATGATCCTAAAATTTATCTGCAAATTCATACCTTTGTCCTTATCCTTACTTGAAGCAGAGTTGGAGAGATTTCAGTCTTGAGAGGTATCTCCAATCTTGCTAGGACACTTATGGCTTTCTTTCACTGTATGGAACCTATTGGGAGTACTCCCTAAAGAATTAGAGAGACCTTACTTGCTGTCATAGATCTATCCTTTGGCTGAATTGTTTGCATGAATTGCTTGTCGATATCTACAGATAAGCAAAAATCTACCTTTAGCAGCAGAGTACTGCTCTCTATTCTCCTTGTTACTCAGATGCAAGCTTAGAGTTCTTCGTGAGTACTTATCAGCTGAAAGCTTAAGCTTCATGGAGCTATCGAAATGAGCCTTCTCAGGCATCAGGTTCAATAAATCTTCTAGTTTATTGAACGTATAAGAATCATAGAACTTATGATCATCATTGACACTTCTTAATGTCTGGGATATCAAATCATCATGATTCAGATACTTTTGGAACCGTACAATTTTATTTATTAAACAAACTGCTATTCCTCTGTAATTGTCATCCTTTCGGGCTCTCAATAGAGCTTGACATCCTCGAAATCTTCACTGGAGTCTCAAACTGACTCTCCTCCTTCGACTCCTCTTCAAATTTCACCGTAATAGTCTTACGTTGTTGCCTGACTCTACACATAATCCAGCCTATACCATACCTAAAGGGTGAAAATCTCTTTTTGGCTGCTTTCTTCATACCCAAATTCAACCTCACAGCTCTCAAATAAGTCTTGATCTCAACTCCTTCATACTCCTGCTCACCTCTCCTCAAGCCTAGCTTATCTGTCTCCTCTTCCTTTGTTTCTTCTCTCTCGACCCTGAGTATCATCCTGTGCTTTCTTTTTCTTTTGTGATTCTTGAAGGTAGTTTTCATGAACTTGAGGCAATCATCAACACATTCGATTTCAGGCCTTTCTTCTTCGTCTTCTTCGTCATCTTCTTCTGATTGCTCTAATTGTGGTTTATGTGTTCTGAGATCTAGGTGACGGGAGTCTATATATTTTCGATCGAGAAAAGCATTTGGCTCTCCGAACGCAGAGCATACAGGTAATCTTCTGTAGTGTTGAAGGTAGCAAATGGGCAACTGCTCTTCGCTTGAAGCTTTTTAATCTATAGGTCTAATTAGTCATGACAGTTGTCAAAAATTCCATACATAAACACTACCGCTCGAGGCTCGTGCCTTGGTCATTGCAGGAATTGTCTCACGTCCTAAAGGTCCTTTAGACTCTTCAATTGGCTTTCTGGGTGACTCGAAAGAGTGATTGGGGGACTTGGAGGTCTGGATAATCTCTGATTCGTCTCATTCTACTTCTCCATTTGCAAACTTTTGGACATCACTAGTGGTTTCATCCCACATCATTGGGTTAGTTTGGGACTGATGCATCGGGTCCATTTTCGGCATCATTTCCATCGAAATGGTTTCATCATTGATATTTTCAGAGTTATTCAAAGAGGCTTCTAACTTATTGTCCTGATTGCTTGTCTCTTTCTTTGAGACTGGGGATTCTTCCTTCACTTGAGAGATACCCCAAGGATTTGTGCGTTGGAAATCACCCCATCCATTGTTCGTCCCTACATGTGTCGGTTTAAGTACAAAAACTGGTTTGAATAAATCTGGAAATGTGAGTTAAATTAGCTTTGATGAGTTCGCCAGAACATTCTTTAAAGTTTAAGAGCATTTAAGAATGCTAGGACCAGCTATTTGGTTATAAATTATGTGCAAATTAAGCTGAATCAATAGCAACTGTCTAAGGCATACCTGCATTATGCTTATTATCATCTTTATGATTCCCATTCACCTGTTGATTATCTTGAGGTTCCTGGGCATCTTTGAAATCACCCCAGCCATTGGTGGTCTGAATAGGTGCTGAGATCACCTTGGTGGATATGCCAAGGCCAGGAGAGGGGAGCTTATTTAAGTCCTTTAGTCTTAGCTTTGGCGATAATTCTGGCCTGTTTGTCTTCTTCCTCATCAGAAGTTTCATTTACTCCTGAAGAAATATCATCGTCTGATTGAGAAGACTGTTGAGAACTAGGAGAAACTATCTTAGATCCAACTTCGATTGGCTTTATCTGATTGAGAGAAGGCTTATGATGAGTAGGCCTGTTCGCAGGCTCTTCTTCACAGACTGATTCATCTATTCATGCTGTGTTAGCAAAGAATCTTGGGTTGGTGTCCTCGTCTGAGTCTGAGAGGCTATAAGAATTATTAGAGAACAAAAATCTAGAGGTGAAGATTTTTGAAAATATCAAAAAGGAATCCTGGATGTTGAATTTTCACAATTTTGATTGAACTGCTGAACATAATCTACAACATAAAAATTCAAAATCAACACTTAGCAAAGCATCAGCTCTCAATCCCATTCCAAAAACTCCATCTTAGAATTTTTGGTTTTTCATTAAAAACTCTCCTGGCCCAAAATTTCCTCCTAAATGCTAAAAATGTCTTAAATCCCTCTTCTCAGCCTCCTTCACATCGTTCCATGGTCCTCCACCTCTCACTCATCCATTTTTCCCAGACCTGGCATAAACCAGGATGGATAGGCTTGCACTCACCCGTTCATATTGTCTGTTAGATTAATATATTATCTTCATCCTCTCTATTATCTCCGGGGTTTTGGGGTTTTGGGGTTTTGGGGTTTTGGGG